ATTCGAACCCGCCACCTTAGGTGTACGTGGCTGGCGCCTTAGCCGGTTGAGCTATAGGCGCCGAGCCACGCCTGGCTATTTTTAGTGACACCAGTAGAGTACCATTGTGTCATAATTCACAGCAACTTCAACTCTTGGGCTCAAGTGATCCTCCTGCCTCAACCTCCTGAGTAGCTGGGCCTACAGATGCTTACCACAACGCATGGCTATTTTTAGAGACAAGGTCTCGCTCTGTCTCAGACTGGTCTCGAACCTGTAAGCTCAGGCAATCCACCTGCCTTGGCCTCCCAGAGTGCTAGGATTACAAGTGTGAGCCATCGTGCCCGGCCTTATCTTTTTTTTTCTCTGAGTTAGGGTGCCCCATTGCTACCCAGACTAGAGTACAGTGGTGTCATCATAGCTCACTGCAACCTCAAATCCCTGGACCAAGCGATGCTCCTGCCTCAGCCTCCTGAGTAGCTGAGACGTTGGTGTTTATCACTATGCCTGGCTAATTTTTTGATTTTTTGTAGGGACAGAGTCTCACTTTTGCTCAGGCTGGTCTTAAACTCCTGGCCTCAAGCAATCCCGTCACCTTGGCCTCCCAGAGTGTAAGGATTACAGGTGTGAGCTACCGTGTCCAGCCTCCAGACTTATCTTGTACTTCCCCTCCCCTAGTCCTGAAATCAGACAGCTCTCCAATTTTAGCATATGTGCTGCCAAAGTGAGTCCCAGCCGGTTCTCCAAATGGCCATTCAGTGGAGAATTTAGAAACCAAGATCTAGATGAGCTTATCACTGGGATGTCACTGCTTTTAGATTTTGCCAGTGGAAAGAGTTTTCTACACATACACACACTTAGATCTATAGTCATCTGTCTATATTGAAAACCGTGGTTTGTCACCCTGATAGATCCGATTCTGATCTGAATCCACAGTGCTAATTCCACTTTTCTCCCTTCTCATATTTGTAATTCCCTTCTCCTGCAGTGAGGAACCTGATGTTCTTATTGTTTTTCATATGTTCTCTTATTTGACTAA